ATGGCGCGTAGCTAGAGTGTGCCAGCCCTGCATATATAGTGCTAGCTAGAAATGAACAGTGGGCTGTGCCATGCCGGTTCATATTCGGGGAGGAGGAAACTGCCCACATCAATGGCTGGCTGTGAGCCTGTTAGCCTGTGACCCGCCTGCACCCGCATCAATGGCGTGTAGCTAGAGTAGTGCTAGAAATGAAGAGGGGATTGTGCCATGCCGGTTCATGTTTGGGAGGAGCAAGCTTCGTGGAAGTTGCGAGTCCAAACTCACATCGCATCATGTCATTTATCCATGGATCGGAGGTAATAAAAAGAAGGTTTAGTTTTCGTGGAACGTAGTAGCTCGATCGAGCTCGGTGTGAGCTAATCGGGGGCCGGGCAGCTTCCCCGAAGTTGCTAGCTTGGCAATGCATATAAATTTAAAGGACACCGCCCGGCCACTCTCTCACCCCGTAGCTACTACACGGAGAGCAGAGGTCGAGGAACGGGGTCCATAGCCGCGTGTCTCCAAGCAGGGGCCGCCGGCCGGCTCTGCTCCGGTCGTCTGCAACTACGATCTTGGACGGCGGCATACTAGTCCGACATCCGTCGCGCGGAGACAGCCGCCGGCACGGCAGCCCCTGCGCGCGCGGTTGCACACAGCACACAGGTACGTTATTCATCCGGCCTATGTCCAGAGTTCATTAGTACCATACGTACTAGCTACTTAGTATGGATATATAGAGTTAAAAAAAACAGTTAGTATGGATATATGTAGCTGCAGATCAGAGACGAACTTCTTCATTTACCTTGTAGTTGTAGTATTATAGTAGTTGATCTGATTGCTAGCTAGCTAGCTGGACTGGCTTTTATGTAGTGTCGCTTAGTTAGCTTGGGCAGTTAATTTGTTGCACGCATACATTTGTGCAGTGGCAGAGCGTGACGAGCAACTAGGACTAGGAGTGGCAATTTTTTAAAATCTGAAAATAAAATGTGCATGAAAATACGTGCGACTAAATACACACCCGAATGAGAGAAAAGAAACTAAAGTTACACGACAATCGAACATACCGTAAAATCATACGGCTAACCTTTTCTCACACACACGTTCCCCTCCCAAGCACAACCTCGCTCTCTCTCTTCCTCACCTCTAGCAGCCATGGATGGTAACAGAGCTAGTGAATGACAGAATGGGTGATTCTAGGAGGGCTAGCAATAGAGGAATTTGAAGACCGATGCTCTGTGGACAACGAAATTTTCAGATGTAGAACTTGCAAGATCCATTCATGGAATGCTCCACATTTGTCTTAGTCATGTTCCCTCCATCCAAAAATATCTAGACATATTTTAATTTTAAATACATCCTTTTTTGTTCATTTTCATGACAAATATTTTCAGACGGAGGAAGTATATTTTAGTGGACCTCCCTGTAACCACGCGTCGGCCAGAATGACACGAGGTGATGGTGTACAGCTGGTGATAGTGCACTGCGCCTGAAGCTGGACTGCTTGGTCTCACGCGAGGCGTCGAGGTAGCTCTGTTTTTTTTTCGAGGTAGCTCTAGTAAAAATACTACTCCATCCGTTTCAAAATAAATGACTCAATTTTATACTAGTTTTAGCATTTGCATTTTTAGAAGCGGAGGTCGCAACCCCCTTTGGCCTCGAGGAAGCTCAGCCAGTGCATCATACTGGTGATGGAGATTCAAAACGCCGGCTACTATGGAGGTAGTAGAATTGTTTGCATGCTATAAAAAAGAGTAGAATAGTTTGCACTGCAGTGTACCATCCTGCTAGGTGAGATTATTGACTGTGCAGTGCATACACATGCATCTATTATATTTTTTGGTCAGCGATACAAAACAACAAATGAATATAAATAATTAAGTATAAAAATGAAGTATATACCTGGATTTATGGTGCATGCATGTAAAGTACTCCCTTCTTCCAAAAATACTTGTCGGGGAAATGGATAAAAATGGATGTATCTAGAAATACTTCTAGATACATCCATTTCTCCAGCAAGCATTTCCGGACAGAGGAAGTATATATTACTTGATGGAACAAGTATTTTTTTTCATCAATCCATTCACAGTATGTAGTATTAATAAACACATTGACTCTAGCCGTGATTTCAGTTTCCTACATTTGACAAGTGAAGTGTGGTAGCTGCTCACTGACACAATGGAACAAGTTGATATTTGGGCGCCCATCTTGGCCGATCCACTTCCAAGCCAATAGGTATTCACTTTGTTGATCAGTTCACATATCTATGTCAAAGACGAGACTAGTTGGATGCTTGGTTTTATTTCAATATTTCAATATAAAAGTGGAGCCGGCCTATATGTCTAAACTATAAATCGTAAGTTATCTGAAAGAAGAGTATAAGCACAACCAAAATGGTCAAACAAAAGTATTGAAGCATACTCCATGGTTTATTCAAGCTTCATTTTAACTGGATGTAATATATGTCAACAAGCATAGTTCATATACGATCCCCATTCTTTAGATCTTATCAAATCTGACTTGGATATAGAGTTCGCAACAGGCTCAGTCGAAATCACGACACAATAACAACATATATTTCATTGTTCTTGATGATAGGCAGAGATCAAAGTTCACTCAACATATGTGGATTATGGCACCATGGACTTTCAAGCACTCTTGGAAGGACCCCATGATTTGGACAGATGGCTGAAAGGTACGATGTTTAATTGTTGTGGTCTATTCCAAACTTTGTTACACAAGCAAGCAATTTATCCATGGTTCGACATTGAAACCAAATAATGTATGATTCCATGCAGGTGCATTCATTCCTACTTATATAAAGGAGGCGAATCTAACACATGAGGCAAGATTTTCGCACATTAAAAGTACAAACTTGGAAAACAAATGAACGTGGCAAATGGCATTGAAAATATGTTTCATCATTGCAGAATGAATGTAAATTTTATTCACCAACTAGTGATCATGGCATGACAATACAAACACATATGCCCGAGAAAGAGAAGGCCCCTGCCACCACAACTCTCAACGGCGGAGGAGAAGAGGAGGAGATGAGAGAGGGAGGAGGGGCCATGTACCCGCCGCCTTGTCACCAGAGAAGCAAAAGGCTTGCGGCCACCGCCACACCACCCGAGGAGGGGGGCTGCGATCTACTAGGTATGAATTATGAAGGATCCATTTGTTGCAATGTACCATTTGTCATTATCTCAAGTAGATAACACATATGCTATGTGCTTCAGATTACATACCAAAAAGTGGTTGGAGGCATGGAGGTCGTCTGAGAAGTGCACGGGAGAGAGGAACATGGTCGATAAACATAGAACCATGCTCCCGGGACTTGCGTTCTGCAAGTGAAGGCCAAAAACATGGGAGCAGAAGAAACAATGACCATTGGACATCTGAAGAGGTGAAAGAACTAGTGGATGGCGTATCTGTATATGGGGTTGGACCATGGACTAAGTTGAAGAATGAAAGGTTTCCAATATCAGTTCGAACAGCGGTGCATCTTAAGGTATAGTCAACCGGTGATTAATTGCACTAAAGCATAAGCATTACATGCTCTCACTGCTTAGCGTTTTTTTTTTGTATTTCACACTTTCTCTGTTCATCTTTATTTATCTATATATATTTTATTGTAAAAGATGCTAATTTTTGTGTTTTGTTTAATCTTTCAGGATAAGTGGAGAAACCTAGTGAAAGCCTTCACGGTCGGGCCCATATCTAAAAATAAGATTTTATATCATAACTTTATCAAAGTCATCATGGAGCACCACTGATTTTTCATCTCTTACATTTCTTGAATTCCAGGGAAATGTGAAAAGAAGGATCACGCCTCGTCTAGATAAGGATTGCGTCGAAAAGATTAAGAGGCTAGCAGCTGATTACCCTCGAAAATGAAGTTGCACTCGTGAATGCTACACGAAACATCATACAGTACTTTTGGTGTAGCATTGGCCCAGCAACAAGAATTCTGTTAATTTTCCAGAACTGTGAAGCATAGGCTTTCATATCAAGTGTGTCGAGAGTAGAGAGTAGATTGAACCATCTAGGTGGAGCAGCTTCTATCTCCTGCCTAACTGCCCTGTGAATGGGAATAGCGCTCGCTCCTCCGACCTGTTGGCTTGCCAGGTTTGCTACAGTGCTGTAGTTAGCTTGACCTTTCATTTAACACCATGACACATTTTGCTGGAAGCTTATGATCTTATGATATGAATGGTGAATGGATATGCACCAGTAACACACACTGCTTCAAGCAGTCTCACTTTGCAGTTGATAGCTCGAATCAGGCACCTGTGACACGCCTCGACCTGAAAAAAGCTTGGTGCCGCTGCCTCCAAACAGCAGGTTTCTTCACTCTGCTTGTACCTTGAGCGATCGTGAGGTGCCGGAATGTCTGCTTGTACCCTGAGGACAGCCTGCAGGCTGAGTAGTAGCTAGGATAGTTTCTTTCTTGCTGCTGTATGGTGAGGTTTGTTGTGCATCCTGGAAATCATATTGGTTGATGACGATATCCTGTCAAACACTCAGCCGGTGTGATTGTTTGCACCGATACTCTCTTGGGTTTCATCCATTCAGGATACGTCCCTCTTGATCTTCTCTAGAAAGGAATTCAGTCTTATACCCTTGAAGATTTTAATAGATGTTCAGGTTGTTATCAAGCTTAATTAGAAATGGATAATATAAAAGGTTTATAGTTCAGCAGTTACCTTAAAGTTTATTTATGGTGCAGAAACAACACAATTGTTCAGGTGTAAAACTTTTGCTAGATGCCTGAACCTGAAGAAATGCTACTATTGTTCATCAGAGTCAGAGACCATGCATTTTGGTTCAATTGCCTAATGCGGTTTAAGTTACATTCTCACCACCTGATTTAACCATAACAGCTATACATATACCCGTAGAAAAAAAAGCACAGCTATATATATATATATATATATATATATATATATATATATATATATATATATATATATATATATATACCTTGGCTGGCTATACAGAGAAATTCTGGATATGGTACTCAGCTATGGCTTTTGCCCGGAGAACATGATGAATGACCTCTGCACCTTGCTGCTGTAGTTGATCAGGCCACAGGATGTGCACAGGTCTTCCAGCTCTCCTTCGGTGAAGAAGTTGTAGCTGCTGTTCACTGTCCCAACAATCTGCAGCACAAAGCAGAGAAGGTGCATCAGGCTAGGTAACCTCTGCCACGCAGAACATAACTAGTAGTGCTAGACGACCGACGACTTCTTTTACCTGTCTCAGTGGCCTTAGTGCGTCAATAGAGAACGGGCCGCTGTTCGTGGGGGTGGATAAGAAGGTTGTCGCTACAAATACACCACCGGCCTTCAGCACACGGCTGATTTCAGCTATCTGGTTTTCAAACAGCAGAAGGGGATGTCATGGTGATGAATAAGTTCATATGAAAAGAAAGGTACACAGGTCATCGCATGACGCCCTGTTCCTACACAAAGCTGTCCAAAGCATACTAACTAAGCACTAAACTATCGTGATTGACTTACAGACGCGTTCAGCAGTCAATAATTAACAGAAATACAGAACATTATCTCCCATGTAATGCCGGGTTTAAACTTTCTGGATTGACTAATTGTTCAGTGGACTCTGATGAATAAGATCGCAATTCCGAAGACACCAGTTTTACTATATCAATTATTAAGTTATCAACTATGTACAATATTAATCAGAAGTGCAAATGAGATGGGTACTATACCGCATTTGAAGGGGATGGCCAACAGTGGATAGCGGCTCCAGCATGAATGGCATCAATTGAACATGAAGCAAAAGGGAGCCTTGAAATATCAGCCCTTACAAGTGCGAGGTTTCTGCAGATGAATACTTCTGATGAATGTTCATAATTACTGTACTGTACTTTAGAACAAAGACAACGTTCTGAAGTAGTAATAGATTGAAACAAGAGAGTAGATTATCACATTTTGTTCAATTAGATGCTGAACACATAGTGTAGTCTTTTTTTTCTCGAGAAAACGCAAACGACCTTTGCATTTCTTTTCATTGGAAAGGTAGGGAGTCCATTATAGTCGTCCTAGGACGAATAATCAAGGATCGGATACAATCCTCAGTGTACATCCCATGAAGGGGGTAGGACTACTCTAAGGCCTGCTGCTCCGGCCTGAGCAATAAAGCACTAGTAGTAGTTCCCACAAAAAAATAGTGATGGCCTAAGTTTTTCTTGACGGTTTGTTACAGTTGGATGTTGCATCTTGCATGACAACTATTCAAGTCTTACAGGAAAAGCTCAAAATAAGCATGAAGGAAAGCTCACGTGTTCATAGGGGTTTCTTCTTGTTTGATGTAGTCATAGCATTGGCGGAGCATATTCTCAGAAAAGTCCAAAGCAATCACAGTTGAATATGCCCCAGAGCTTGCAAACTTCCTTGAAAACAAGCCACTGCCACAGCTGACATCAACGAGTATACCACCAGCGACTGATTGGAAATAATCTTGAGCCATTTGGAACTGATAAAGTCAACAGCAGACTAGAATTATATGCATATTAATATGAATATTTTCTTGTCATGAAAACTGGAGACAGCGTTTTGTTGCAGCACCAAATACATGGCTCTGACAGATATACGTCTTACTATAAATAGTTTCTCACTGAGCAGTAACAGCTTAAGGCTATGGAACTGAAGAATGAGACAGACAAGAAATGTACCTCTTCATCGCGGCCAGGGAAGCCACTGCGATTGAAGTTCTGACGCCACCCCCTCTCGTAAAGAAAGGAGACGAGCGGGCTCCTGAACAGCTCAGTTCTAGCAGGCTTGAGTTCACTGTACTCTTTCATTCCTGAGGTGACAGTGAGATCCAAGAAGACATCTTTGCTGGTGAATGACTTGTTGCATTTTGAACACTTGAATCCGGACCTATAAATCGCAGGCTGGGACACACATAGAAGCAAAAAACAACATAAATCCTAATCCAGCCAACAGATATGCATGCGAGATGGAGATAATTCATGGACCGGAACTACTTGATGGACGATTTTGTGTTGAACGATGCATGCACGATAGCTGATCCAAGCGCTTACGGCTGCTCAGACTTGCCAGTGGATGGTCTGTGGTGTAGTGTCGTCCACATTTCGGCTGCAAGCGTCGTGTGTGTAGCACTGCTCTTCATGGACTTTAGACGTACAGGTTCATGCCTGGCGGCCCTGTCGTTATGAGTGGTTCATAGCAAACAGGGCATGCGAACACCTCGGTGTTTGAAGCGTCATTCAGCTCGGTTTTGATCTCCTCAAACTGTTCTCATAGTGAGCGTCAGTTTCACCTTGGCATAACATCAAACACCTTGTATGCAATCGCTCCCCCTTTTTTCTAGCACACACTACGCGTTCCCTTGCTTCTCCTGAGATGAGAATCAGCTAGTGGCGCAGGTACGTACGTCCATTCGCGCCTCCGTCGTTGGGTCCGGATTTTCTCTTTTAGATGGGCAGCACACCAACTCAAAAAAAAATAAAAAAAACTCGGCAACATTCTACGCCTCTCGACCGGCTAGATTCTTCACTCGAGCCTTTGGATTCGCGCAACTAGAGTGGTTGGATCAAAGTCAACCCCTTCACACATGCACGACTCATTTTTTTTTCAAAACTATCACTTTTTTATAGCAATTTCGAAAATTATAGTAGACAATGCAAAAAAAAATCAAAACCAGTACCCTGTCGGCCTCCTCTTGGCCGGAAAGGGAGTTTTCGGCCTCCTCTAGGCCAAAAAGGGCTTTTCGGCCTTGTCTCGGCCGAAGAGGTGCCCACCTGGGCCGAAAAGGGAGTTAGGACTTTTTGGCCAGCAGTAGGCCGAAAAGACCTATTTGACCAGCAGTAGGCTGAAAAGTCCCTTGGGCCCCACCTTTTCACGTTAATAGTTGACCGAAGCTGCATGGCTCCACTCTTCGGCTTACTTTAGGCCGAAATGGTTTTTTTTTATTTTGGCTTATGAATATTGTGCAACCATTGCCCATTTGTTCCCGTCACTCGTTTCCCACCAACTCTTTCCCTCCATATATTCCCGCCATCCGTTTCCCGCGAACCCCTTCCCACCAACCCGTTCCCGCCAACCCTTTCCCGCCATACCGTATTCGTTATTTCCCGCCACTTTCTCCTCTCTACCTATAAAACCCCCTTCACACGAGGGTGGATAAGTAGTCCATTGTAGTGTAGTCGAGATGTCTCATTATCCTTTCGATCATAGTTTTCACCCTGGGATGAGCAGATGTCTTCTGAGGCTAGCCACTGATTTCAGGATGGACAATAGGATAGTTCCATGGGACAAACTCGTCGGTAGTGACACCATAATGAATGAGTTGGCTCACGAATTACGTAGGTCTGGGTGGCCTGAAAGGACCTATGAGGAGGTACGTAAAGAACTTCTTAGGTTGCATGAAAGGTGGAAGAAGGTAGTGCAGACCAAGAGTGAACCTTTCAGAAGGACTGCAACAAAGAACCCATATTTATGGACTGACGACAGCGAGGACGAAGATGATATCTTCAGCCGCCGCTTCCGGGTTCCGCAACGTTGAAGGGCAAGAGTAGTGCCACATCGTCGAAGGGCAAGAGTGTTGCATCGATGGAGGGCAAGAGGACCGCAACGTCGAAGGGCAAGAGGGTTGCATCTACGGAGGATGACGATGATGACTTCATGTAGTATGTAAGCTGTATTTTTAAGTTTAGCCGAACCGTTTAATTCAGATGTACTTGTATCTTAATTATCAGTTGTAGTCTCTTTGGAAATGTAACTAGTATAACATTGCGAATATATAGTAATATGTCTCTCGCATACATAAAACAATATATGTCTCCTGATCGGATAGAAGCAAGTGCGATAGTAACACATACATGAAGCATGTCTCATACATAAATACTGACTCACAGATGCGAATAGTATGAAACTAACATAGATAATGAGTCATACATATATAAACATATCACTGCGGGGGACAACGACGAGTCTGGGTCTTCCTCGGGCGAGGACCGGAAGGCGATAAGCGTTGAGGCGGTGGACGAGGCTCGGGATAACCACGACCATAGTTAACCTCGTCTGTCATAGTCTGTGTCTCCTGCGTCGGTTGTGGTGGTGGAGTGTGAAACACTGTGTGCGAGTAGTCATAAGCGTTTGCAGCTTGGTCATCAATCCTCTTCGTCGCCCTCAAAGTACGAAGCACCACCACTAAGCATCGGTGATTGCACTGAATGCATGAACGGTTGTGACTGGTTGCCGCCTGCGATAAAGTAAAACATGTAAATTTGATACAAATGCATGAATGAAGCACCGCCACTAAGCATCGGTGACTACACAGAATGGAAGAACGATTACTACAATATTGAAAAGAATGTAGTGAGTAGTGTTACCTAGTTCCATCTGCTGATGCCAGTAAGCGCTCCCTAGTTGTGAAGGAGGTGACTAGGAAGAGATCCCTGGCTGTGAAGGATGAGGTTCTGAACGGTGCACAGAGGGTCGTGGTTCTGAACAGTGCACAAAGGGTTGTGGTTCTGAATGCTGTAGAGAGGGGCGTGGCGGACGATGTGCTGGAGGAGGAAGTGCAACATCCGAAGATCGTCTACACGTAACAGCTGCGTAAATCCCGCGTAGCTTGTCATCAAGACGCCTCAACCATGAGATGTCATCTCGCGGTGGGATAGTATCTCCCCTCTGAAAGCGCTTCATTATGGCGGAAACCTCCTCTCGCGCCTCTATTGGCAAGTCACCATGTACATGAAGAGATAACCACACTAATAGGGAAAACCTTATACACAGAATGTTACCAGTAGCGCTGTACAAAATCAAACACTACTGCTACTTAGTAGCAGCGCGCGTAAATAAACCGCGCTACTGCTATGACTTCAGCAGTAGCGCGTACAAGCGAAAAGCGCTGCTGCTATGTTTGAACTGGGCGCACATGGCTAGCCCAACCTAGCAGTAGCGCGTATACTGACCCAGCGCTACTGCTACTCTCCTTAGCTATAGCGCGCTTACGTGTAAGGCGCTACTGCTAACGGAAATAAAATAAAGTGAAAAACAAGTAGAAAAGTAAATGAAAATGAAAGAAATAGAAAAAGGAGAAAGGAAAAAAATGTAAAGAAAAATAAAAGAAAAAAAGAAAAAAAAAAGAGAGAAACGAATAGCAGTAGCGGTTTCCAGGAAACGCGTTGTAGCTAACTTAGCTATAGCGTGTCTCGGAAACGCGCTACCGTTA